AGCTCTGAACATTGTAGGCATTGAACCTGAGAACAAATCATCAGAATACAGCACTCTCACTTTTTCCTCTAATGAGTTGGCGCTCCCAGTAAGAAACAGCAAAAGAACTATGCTCTGAATTCCTTCCTGGCCATAGGTGGCAGCCTGAATGGGAAGGCCGGGCAGTTATTTGCAGAGCTGAGTTAAAGGATTTGCTCTGTTTGAACAGCTGCTTTCAGACCCTGAGTTCCCCTCCGGAACCCTCCAAAAAGGATGAGCTCACTAGGGTTTAGCCAACCATTTAGTCATCACCCACTTCTGGGGTTTAGGGAAGTGTCTCCAACCTTGAGTTGGAATCAGGTCGTGGGAGCCCCGGGGTGTTGTGTGACATCTTCCAGTTGAAGATCAAGACTTTGGCGAAGAAGAGAAGAGGTGAGATGTGACCAGGTGGCTTCATTTCTCATGGTGTTAGACAAATCTGGGCTAGGTCCAGCCGTACTAGAGAGAAGGGCTCCTGGCTGGGGGCAGTGAGCATTTCTCAAGGAGTAGTCAGAATTCTGATAGGACCACAGGGGACCCAGAAGAGGAGGAACAGGAAGAGGCAGGCCTCTGCCAGGCTATGGAAGGGAATGGGATGTTCACAAAGAGTGAAGAGGGAGCCGAACCACTGACCTTTCACCTTTGTAAAAGTGAAAGCAGAACTTAAAAACGTGACATTTGAAATACTATCTGAATATGTAAATTACACATTCACTCCCATAGTTGCTGACACACAGGCAGGACATAAATAATTCTTATGTGGGACAGTGCCACCATTTTTTTAACCCAAGTTCCGGCATTGTCGATGGAGACGTGAGATGGGAGAGCCGGCAGTTCCTCGGGCTCCCGTCAGCTTTCCCGTGGATTCCAGAGCACGAGTGAACTCCTCTCACTCCCTGGCAGAGGGCTGAGGGCAGTGGGAGAGAAGCAGCAGCTTCTCAGCTTCTCAGCAGCTATAAAAAAACTTGAAGTCTGATTTCCTTCTAAGGCATCATGAGTCACTGGACGCTCCGGCCCTCAGTGCTCTGGGAAGTTCAGCTCAAATCGGAAATGTGTGCATGTGTTTTTCTTCCTGAACCAAAACTGCTGAAAAACTAGATGACGTCACTTGGACTGAATCTCCTGCAGGCAGTGAATGGTAGCTTCCTATTTCTGTGCTGCCAGGAGGATGGAAGTCACTTCATGATGTTTCTTTGACCCCCGTTCCAGTATTACATCACAGTGTTAAGAGCAAGCTTACCCTCCACTCCACCCCCAACAGGGAGCTGCTGAGACTTTTAAAATGCCATTTGTCATCTCCAAGTGTACAGCATACCTACACTCTTTTGCCTCCCACCCTTTAGGCTGCAATTTCAATTTAAACACCAAGTGACGCCAAGCTGGGTTGGTCACAATACTAGAAAGCCACAGGTAGAATGTACCTCGTCCAATAATCTGATTTTAACTGAGGTGTAGAGAGGTAAAGAACCTGTCTATGGCTACAGAAGGACAGAAGCAAAACTAGGAGCCGGGCCTAAAGTCTCAGCAGACGGCTGTCCCCACGGTGGTGTCTCCATCCTTGTAGACGAGGGGCTGGCTGTGTCTCAAGCCCTCTGGCCAAAGCAGGGGCTTACCCTGTGATCATTCTCGTTCTTCTCAGCCCTCTTGTGCTTCTGTGCAGTGGGAAGAAAGGAAATGGGCAAGGCAGCCTGGGGAAGATCTTTCTGGAAACACAGGTGGCAGCCAGGAGATGGCCTTTCCTGCTAGAGAACCTTGTCTAGAAACCAGGGTCTGGGATGGCACTGATTAAGGGCAAGGTTTCAACTCCAAGGTTCTGCATAGAAGCTGTAGCCTCCACTGCCCTGCTCTGGACATGGGCAGAGGCATGTGCTTATGTAATGTTAAATTCCCATCTAGTATCTAAATTCCCACCTAATGTTTAAAGTGTATTTCTTCACACAATTCCTAAAGAGACTTGGATTAACCTTGAAGTTAAAGAGGAATGAATCTTTTCACGGTGTGAATTTTCCACATAAGGCAAACACAGATACATTAATATGCCAAGAGATTGTGTTAAAACGTCAGCTATTGACACCTAAACTTTAAAAGCAGGGTAAGGCCGTAGTGGGATGTGTCTGTGGTGTTTCTGGTCCCTCCCCTACCACGCTAGGGCCCAGGTGGAATCACAGCTGAGGGCAGGTGTAGCTTGTTCACTGAGCAAAAGGAATGGAAAGCATTGCGAGCTAAAAACCTACAGAGTTCGCAGTTAGAGATGAAAGGCTGCAGAAATGTTTATTGAATACAGTGCCAGGTTTATAAATAGAACTTATTTACAATTTCCATAGAGTTGGTCCCCCATCAGAGAGGTGGTTAAATCTCCAGACAGTTCATCTCACGATTTACAGAAACGTTCGAGTACATCTCCTTCGCAAGTCGCCACGGTGAAGGGTGACTTCGGTAACAAAAGAACTACCACCATCTTTGCTACAGACATGTTTAATGAACATTGTAATAGATTTGGAGAAAGAACACACACTCCACCCATGCCACTACCTTCTCACTCTGAGGAATACAGACAGCAAAGAATTTCTGTCTCCTACAGGGTAACTTCAAGGGATCAAAAAAGATAATAGTAACCGCCAGCTGAAGGGATAGATTAAGACACAGTCGTGGAATCTAGTCACTGCCAAAAGGATAAATGTATTTAGGATATACAATAATTAATTCAAATGTTAAAAATAATTGAATGAACCAAGAGCAGACTTGACCAAATTTACATTCTTTGTTTAGGAAGAAGTTCCCAGTATGCTGAGGGGCTGCTAATATGCTGCTACTCCGACGGGGCCACAGCAGCACGAGGCCTACTGGGCGGCCACGTGTTACAATATGGTTACAAGTACAGTCAGACATGCATTTATAAAGAGAATATAAAAATATGTACAGTAGCTAATTTTCAATGTGTTTTAAGTTGCCGAAAGACACCAATTTAAAGTGTGCAAAAATTCGTTTGTCAAAAAATCAGAAAAAAACCTTCCTTGGCAACAGTACATCAAAAGTCCATCTGAAATATCAAGATACATTTACCTTGCTTGACACCTACCCTGAACAGATGGAGAACAAAACTATGAAGGTATATGCCAAGGACTCAGCAGTTTTTTATGGCAAGTCTCAGGCTCCTGCGGGATGCCAGTTAAACTAGTCACTTTATATATGTGTGTGTGTATATATATATATATATATATATATATATGTGTGTGTGTATATATATATATATATATATATTTATAGAGCAGTTAGAAGTAGGGCAAGAGTTTACAGGAAGGTGCTGACCAACTTTCACAGTACTGCCACCTCATTCCAGCCATTTCCTCTCACAAACCCCTGCAGACTGCAAACACTCAACCCCTGGGCTGGTCGTCCCCCTCAAAGGCCAGAGAGAAAGGCTACAGTGGACTGAGTTCCCTGTGCACCAAAGTGGAACTCAGCATCCGCTGGGGGAAAGGTTTCTGGTTCCCGTACAGGATCCGGGCCATTCAAGAATCTGGTTTCAAGAGTAGTCTTTTAGGAAAGACTGCAGGACCACTAACATGGGAGTCCACCCAGCTTCTAGAAAAAAAACTTGGTGAAAGGGTAAGATAGAAGGCAAAGTTTCTGAAAAACAAGCCAAATCGCCCTCAACCCTTTTTAAAACTACCAGGAGGTCATCGGCCACAGGCCTGAGAGTGGGTCAACAGTCAGGCTACTTGACCTCCCTGCAAGAAACATCCAGGTTATTAACTTACTCGAAGGAGAAACCCCAGTCCTGTCTCACCAGAAGAAAACCCCCGAGGTATTCTGAGATGTTCCTTCCAGATTCAAGGAGTTGTGAAAGCCAAGCCCAGCTCATGACGTCAACCTCTCTTCTTCCAACCACCGGGTCTAAGGACCAGCAGCAAAGGCAGATGGGCAGGCTCCTCTCCACTGCTCTGACCCACCCCTCTGGCGGGAAAACTAAAGAGCTGCAAAGTGCCAGAGAGACAAGAAGTAGGAGAGGGAGAAGCTGAGGGTCTCCGTAAAACAGCCCCGAATGCACCCATTTGGCTGCCAAGAGCTTCTCACTGCCTCACTAGCAGCCTGCCGCTGTTCCCTGGCAAAGTAAAACTTCTCACAGAAACACTCAAAATCCAAATCTCCTCGCTAATAAGATACAACCAAGTTAACACCCTGAAAAATGCACATTCAGCCTTCACTTCAAAAAGAGGTCTGCACTAAATCCAAACGCCTTTTAGGGAGCTTTTAAGCAAACCAATCCCACTGCAAAGACCAGTACCAGCATCTCTGAGTTTTGGTTACAGGTTTACAAAGAAACACAAAATTCCCTCTGGGCTGGGAGTGTTACTTTCAAGCTGGGAGCTAGCATTCGTTCTACTTGGGGGGTGGGGAAGCAAAGTCAAGTCAACCTAAAAAAACAAAAAGGAAAAGGAGTCTAAGGTAAGTATAATCATAAATTAAAAACTGTGAATCAAAAGGTGACTGGTAGTGTCTTTTAGGCATGAAAAGCCTGGCTTAGAAAAGTGACTGCTTCTACCACACACAGCGAGGATTGAATTACAGACACACTAAATCATGTCTTTTGCACAGATGGTCTCAAGTAGTTACATAAAACAGGTAATCAGCAGCACAATTGATAAGAACCCCTAAATACATGCTTGAGAGAAAGTGGTTTTTTTCCTTCATTAAGAGCTCTACCGCCTGAATAATCATTAAGTTACCATAATTCACTTTCCCCCCTCCCCCCCAGTGAAAATACAAGTAGACCTACATGTCCATAAATAAGATGAAGCAATCGGTATCTGCTTGGTTTTAGGCAAGGTCTCAGGCTCAGCAGTTGGTGCTGGGATTTCAGGAGGGAGGGAGGGAGGGAAACCCAATGCTGGGCTGTGGGCATTTAAAGGTACACTTGCCTCCCCTCCAACTGCCTTGTCCCCGTTTAGATCTTAGCTTTACAAAGCATTTAACACCACTTTAAGTTAATGGTCTTTTTATTGGAAAAAAAAAAAACACTAGCATTTACAACTTGGAATGGACGTAAATTGTAATTTCTTGAACAGCAATGTTGATGGTTGTGCTGAAGTCCACAGCCACAGCCTACTCTGCTGGCTCCAAGTCATGGTTCAGAAGGTTTTAAAAACAGAGAGTCCAAAGATGCTCCCTTGATAAAGGTTTTTAAAAATTTGTATGAATGGTGATAGCCTGACACCCACTCCGCTCTAGCACAATGCAGACAAGGCTAAACCAACACACGTGGGCATGCCACCAGGGTGTGTCCCGGTCACGACAGGTAGGGGCACGGGGAAGTTACAAGAGGGCCATCCTGCTAGTGGGGCTATGCCTGGACAGTTTCTCTTCCACAGCATCCTGAGATAAACCAATCTTCAATGTCTGTTTTCAGTAAACCAGCTTTTATGGTTTATGGTAACAAATTGAACTAGAGCCCCTTTGAGCAGGCTTTGAATTTGTTTTTTTGTTTTTCATTTTTAATACAAACGCCTGACTGTGCTCAACTGTCAAGCTGCATGCATGAAAAACTGGCCAGCCCAAACAGTGTATTAACCATGAGCGGACGGACCTGCCAGGTGTCCACTAAGTGCTTCCTTATCATTAAGGTAGGACAAGTATTTATATCGGAAAACTGATGTAGCTTGATCTTTAGGGGACAGGACCACCAATCAATACATGCAGATTTTTTGTGTGTGTGGACAGAAGGTACTCTTGACATTCAGTTTTGCTATATAGAAACAGAATGAGTAAATGAATTTTTTTTTTTTTTTTTTGCAAGAGGTAAGTAAAAGATCAATTTGATTCTTCTAGAGGGGGGAAAAAAGGAGTTGAAAGTAGGTCTTCATTTTGCAGTCATCATCTGTACGAATTCTGAAAAGACAAATAATCATAACTTTCGGTTATCTTCAAAAGCAGCTTTAATGAACATAACATCTCTACTCTGCATAAGGAAAAAAAAAAAAAAATCTAGTTCAAGTAGTTAACTTGTTTATAGATCCTAAAGTGAAACCTTAAAAACTAAGCTGAAGAAACTTGGTGTGTTACCTTCGTAGTTGACTTGTCCATCTCCATCAATATCTGCTTCTCTGATCATTTCATCTACTTCTTCATCTGTTAGTTTTTCTCCTAAGTTTGTCATGACGTGACGTAGCTCTGCAGCACTGATGTAACCATTGCCATCCTGTGAACATTCAGCAACTGTTACTGGTAGGGACTCATAGTGGTTCGGTGTGGGCAAGTAGGCCTTTGACTTAATTAAGCCCCTCAAGTTACTGCCAACTGTGTGTATGTCGACAATTCTCCATCTCCAGTTCCCACTTCTACCTACTAAACACATGCAGTCAGGCAATGCAGACACTGCAGGGGCTTTTGAAAAGCAAACAGAAATTGAAAGTCACAATCAAGAAACTTGGTTCAAAATTTCTCTACTATTTATTATGTTTACTCTCATCTGATAAGGTTACTACAATAAGTCAGGATATCTGAAAATGAGATTACAGAGGCTCAGGCAGTTAGGTAAGTGTTCTAACTAGAACAGAACGTTAAAGCTTTTAGAAATGACAGCCAGAAAGCCATATTTAAGCACAGTCTGCAATGCAGACGCAGGGTTACCTTGTCAAAGACTCGGAATGCCTCGCGGATTTCTTCTTCACTGTCTGTATCTTTCATTTTTCTAGCCATCATAGTCAAAAATTCTGGGAAGTCAATGGTGCCATTGCCTCAAATAAAAAAACAAAAGCTCATGTAAAATAAGCGCTCCAGTGACGCTACCCTGGAGTGATAGTTTTAGAACCACTTTATAGAACAGTAAGCATTTGCTAGGACAAACTGGTAAATTGTTTTATTATGTTGAGCCATCTTAGGTTTAAACTATTCAAATACTTCACAGGGCAATTTCATGTGATTCACTTAATTCAAACCAGTGATCAGTGCCCAGGATAGCATTTAATGATGCAAAGGAAAACGCACATACAGACTCTTGGCCACTGAAGGTTTTGTACCGTTCAAGAGGAAAAAAAGCCCACAGCAGTGCAAGCTGAATCTTTCTACTCCCAAAGGAGGCACCTGAGTTTGCCTTCCCCAGAGTTAGGGAGGTCACTCGGATCTAGCTCTGCCTGCACTAGCGATGCTGGTGAAGGTCCATAATTGGGCCACCAGGAGTACACAATGTTTTTAGGAAAGAAAAGGATTATGAGCGGGAAAAAAGTTGACTTTGTTATGCCAGGGACCATGAAGTGTTGCAAAGTCTTCTCCAGGAGGCACTTCTCAGCCACATTATGGTAAGTCACCTAATCATGTTCTCCCCAACTCCAGTATCTTTATTTCCCATTAAGGGCGAGGCTCAAAAGTGTTTTCTCAGCTCAGACTATTAACATTCAGGAAACTTTGTCAGAAGAATCTGTTCTATGGCCAGTATTCCAAACAACTCCTCCTTTAAAACCAACAGCTCGATGAACACCCCAAAGACAAGTCACCAGATCAACAGTGTTACTTGAACTAAACAGAAACAAAAATTAAATTAGAAGAAAAAAGCCTTACGTTAAGTCACTCATTTTCACCAGTACCTTTAAATCAAAATAATAATTCAGAGATTCCTTCAAATCTATTTAGCCTCCAAAATTTTTAAGCATTATTGACATTCACGGAAGACAAAATTATTTGAAATGCTCTCTTACAGCCACACAGCCATGTCCTTAGGCATCACATTTATTCATTGTGAGTACCAGATTCTATACCTTGAGACAACTTTCCCCACCTTGTTCCATAAAACCCGAGGGCCTAATACACTTTGCCAGTCCCCAAGCAGTTTCCCCGGGGCTTACACAAAACATGAGAGAGCCACCCCACGCTCCCAGATGGCTGGTCACCCTTAGCAGTCAAACGAGACGGAACTATGAAAAACCTTTTTCCAAATTACTAAGGATGAAAACAGTCTTTAGAAGTAGTTCAAATGGGGTAAAACCATTGTTAAAGAGCTGACCCAAAACCCCTGCTTCTAAATGTATATGACCAGAGAAGTGTAATTCCATTTTATCACCTTATGATACCATATCTTTAATGGCTACTATCATGCCAATCATCAAGAAAGTAGTCTAGATCCAAACTGTTTATTCCTACCTCTTTTCAAAATTTACTAATGTTCTACAATGTCTGTAGATTTGATTAATTTACTTCAATTTATTAAATAAATTAAAATTATTAATTTAATTGATATTATTTCCAAAAAACGTGTTTTCTTTTGGGGGGGGAAGTGATCAAAAACGACTTACTGATAGAAGTGCCCAATAAAAGGTCTACTGTCCACTGTTCTGGAGTCCAGAGGAACGAACAACCAAATGGTGACCAACTGCTGGAGGGGTTACTGCTTGTCCCTTCTGGCTCCACATCCTTCTACTAGCTTCTATAAATCTGCTCCCTATAATCATCATGCACCCCACCTCCAAGCCTCAATGATCCTCAAAATCCTCTTCAATAAACACACAGACAGGGCTTCCCTGGTGGCGCAGTGGTTGAGAGTCCGCCTGCCGATGCAGGGGACACGGGTTCGTGCCCCGGTCCGGGAGGATCCCACATGCCACGGAGCGGCTGGGCCCATGAGCCATGGCCGCTGAGCCTGCGCGTCCGGAGCCTGTGCTCCGCAACAGGAGAGGCCACAACAGTGAGAGGCCCGCGTACCGCAAAAAAAAAAAAAAACCACACTGACAGCTCACACTGTACTCACTTCCACATGTTAACATATGAGAATGCTCTTCCCCCACCTCACTTGGGTTTTTTCTCCTCTTAAACACAATAAGCTTTTTTAAAGGTCTACGGCTATTTATTTTTACTTTCCCCATAGGACTCAGTGCAGACTCATGGGCCAGTTGATAAAAGACTGAGCTGTAGGTCATGGCGAGTGGAAAAGAACAATACTGTGATCCGATCCAGGAAATATTCTAGACAGTGAGCAGGGGGAAAGGCAGGCCCGTAATCTTCTATTTTAATTGTCAGTGGCTGTAAGGAAACCACAGAAAGGATCTTTGCACGTTTGCCTTGATCTGGGGACCTGAAAGACAATCTTTAATGTCTGAACTTGAATTACACAACGCTGGCATTCGTTCGTAGTGCTAAAGCCCTTACCATCAGCGTCCACTTCGTTGATCATATCCTGCAATTCGGCTTCTGTTGGGTTCTGACCCAGTGACCTCATGACAGTTCCAAGCTCCTTTGTTGTGATGGTGCCATCGCCATCTTTGTCAAATAGGGAGAAAGCTTCCTTGAATTCTGAAAACAAAAGTTTACCTTTTAGAATGAATGTCTTCACCCAACCCAGCCACAGCACGCCCTTTCCTTAACTTGCCAAAGCAAGCCATCCAAGTTGTGCAAGTTAAGAGAAACTGTCTGCTCTTTATCTGCTGAAACAAAGATCACAGCAGTTCTGTTGGACTGGCCTTCACACAGTAGTCCATAGAGCAAACGTCATTCCTGGTAACCAGTTCCATAAAGCCACAATATTCTCACATAAGGAAGGCTAAGCTTCAACACACTTAATTTAGTCCTAAGTCCAATCTGACAAGTGAAGATTGGTCCACATGTTCCTTTATGGTCCCTTCCTGTTAAATTTCTACAGCCACAAGAACTCCCCGTTTCACAGCCATAGGAAGAGGTGGTTACCAGAAATGTACAATCCCACGTAACCAGTGTGTTCTCTCTACATGGCATTCAGAGTATTTCAAAGGCATTCCTGGTTTCCTAAAGAGAAACCATCTCAAAAAAGTCCTCCAGGGGCTGCCCTGCTGGCGCAGTGGTTGAGAGTCCGCCTGCCGATGCAGGGGACGCGGGTTCGTGCCCCAGTCCGGGAAGATCCCACATGCCGCGGAGCGGCTGGGCCCGTGAGCCATGGCCGCTGAGCCTGTGCTCCGCAACGGGAGAGGCCACAACAGTAAGAGGCCTGCGTACCGCAAAAAAAAAAAAAAAAAAAAAAAAGTTCTCCAGGGAATATTAAAAGCTAAAATCTAAACTAAATCATTCCCTTCCCAATTATTACAGTGGTCCTGACACTTATTTCCACCCGTTCCCATTTAGAATAGCAAGTACAAGCTTTCATGGTGAATTACTAAAAGACCTATGGCATAAGAATTCTAAACTACATTTTTGCTACATTTTTGTAGCAGGCTCCATGCAATCTCATTATATACAAAGCCTGGCACACCGTGAAGCATAGTCAAATGCTCCAGAGTATAATATGTGGGTATTCTTAGTTCTACTTCCTTTCTCATTATCTCCAAAACGCTGACAAGGAGTAACACTTGACCTAAATATCTCTGCTTATTGTTTTCATTTAAGTAAATTCTTAGAAAACTGCTCAGACTATAGGGGGAGGGGACAGAGGAGTCACCAGAACTGAGTCTGCCTAGTTCCGGCTACTGAAACTCCCTGAAATCATCAACTTACCAGCAATCTGTTCTTCGGTCAGCTGATCAGCCTACATAGAAAAAGAAAAGGTTATAATTCAATCCACCAGAGTTTGATCGAGGTCAACATGGTTTTTCCAATTACACTTTTAATAGTGATCTTTCAAAAATCAATCTCAAAAAAAAAATCAGCTGTCATTTAATAAAAACAATTAGAATAAAGGGAACCCTTTACGCTATTTTAAAAACAAAGGATGGCAAAGGAAGTGACAACATCTCATTTCGGGTTTTCTTCTCTGGGCCTATGGCTATACGCTCTGCAGTCTAACTAGGAAGAGTCAGTTCATAGTTTGAAAAATGGCACCTCTAGTGGCAAAAGGCCCACTGCATCGGCTGCAGGGGCAGGCTCTGAGAAAGAAGAGCGCCACCTACTGCACCAGGGGTGCCACAGTCCCCTCTTCCATCCCAGAAGGGACCCAGCCTGCTGCTGCTGTCACCGCAGCCAGGATTGGGTCCAGGGGCAGACTTTTAGTGCACCTTGCGCATTGCTGCAGGCACTCCAAAGCTCCAAACTGGCGTTACATAATGTCATTGGGTTGGATTAACAGGCTTTTATATCTATTTTATGAGACACAATTCAATGGAAAAAAATATACAGCAATGGGTTATCCTACCGACTTCATTCCCACGTAACAAGTGCTTTCCAATCATTTAAATTAGGCAGCTATTTGTTAAAAGCCTAAAATTTAGAACAGCTAAATGCCCTTGGTCAAATTATCCTGACTCAGGAGCCAGAAAAAAATGGAACTGTCCTACAGCTGAGCTGTTAGAAAACTGCAAAAATTAAGTACAAAGAAACTACATAATAATTATGAGACTGCGCCCTCCCTTTTTTGGAGAGGAACTATTAACTTTGTTAGAGAATATTTACCTACTTTATGTATGACGTAAGAGCTGCTCATAATAGAAATACTTGACTAGAGGTGGTAACGGCCACGAAGGTAATTCTCACTTGCATTATTTGGCCTCAGCAACACTGAACCTGTGCCTCCAGCCAGGGGAATTCGAGATCTCAAGGAGAGCTAATATGTATTTTTATATTAATGAAGGACGCCTAATGAAGCCAGTTCCAGAATAAGTCCCATTAGAAAGCTGACGGCATTAAGTTTATTCTAACTCATAAGTGAAAACTTTCACAATAGGAATGATGTTCCCATATACTGATTTATATCAGACACTTATGTTTTCAAATTAGAACTGGGTCTTCCTTCCTTTCTAACCCAGACATAGCACGTTGGTCTTCTTTATACCGAATGAAGGAGACACGATGATTTACGTAATGCCAGGGCAACGTCTGTCTTGCACAACAGGAAGCGCTGCCACACCTCGCAAGAGAAGCTGTCACCTCACCGTGGAGACAGTCTCACCTCGCCGCAAAATTCTCGCATTAGAGTGGTTATCGAGAGCATCAGCCTTCCTCGACAAAGAAATACACGCCGACCACCGGACCGCGCTGGCCTTGGGGGCGAAGGTGCGCTGAACCTGCCGGGAGCCACCTCCCCACCCCGCCAAGCCAGAAAACGCTGTGGGTGATGTCAGCCCTGCCCGCCGAGAGAGGAAAGGGGCTATGGAAAACACCCAGCGAGGCGCACAGCCGCATCTGGCAATCTAGAGGCTGCAGAGAAAGCGGAAACGTGGAGGGCATCTCCCTTCGGACTGGGAAGTGGCTCGGGGCGGAGAAAACGCCGGGCGAAGGGCCGGGCAGGGGAGCGGGCCCCGAGTGCAGGCGGGTTCAAGGGGGCGCCGCCCTCCCAGGCCAGGGAGACCCCCACTCCCACCCCCAACCCCACCCCCCGGCTGCGCGGCAGGCGGAGGCCCAGTCCGTCCCGCGCCCCCCACCCGCTTCTGCTCCCCGAGGCGACGAGTCCGCCGCGCCGCCACCGCCTCCCAGAGCAGAAACTTTGCGTCTCTGCTGGAAGCCGAGCTGCGCGCCAGCTCCCTCCTCCCCCGCCTGTCCCCCGCCCCAATTAGCGCGAGCCGAGCGCCTCCCTCGGGAAGGGACCTCCTGGTGTACCGAGGCTCCCGCACGCCTTTACTGCCGCACAGGGTGGGGGGCTGCAGGGGGGCGAACCCACGAGACACGAGCCCCGGCCACGCCGCAGGGCCCCGCCCGGGTGCAGGGCGGCCGGCCCGCCGCTTCCGCCCTCTCCGCCCCCCACCCCGCGCCTTCCTGCCCCCACCCCACCCTTCCCCGGCTCCTTCCTTCCCAGCCCACGCCCGCGCCGCGCCCCCCGGGAGGGAGGAGGAAAGAGCGCCGGGAGAGAGCGCCCAACGGGGACAGCAGTGTTGGGGGAAGGCTGACGGCGCCCCCCACATCCCGGCAGGAGCAACGTGCGCCACCGGCTCGCTCCGGCCCATTCATTCTCCGCTGCCCGCCCGCCCAGCTGCCTGCGAGCCAGGGTCTAGTGCCCGGCCCCGCCCGGCTCCCCCGCCCCCCGGGGCAGAGGCGAAGCGCTGCGGGCAGCCCGGGTGCGGCGCGCTGGATGCAGTGGTGCGGACTGGGGGAGGGGGGTGGATGCAGATGGCTCCGATTCAGCTGGGGCCAGAGCCCCTGCCCGCGGACAGCCCACGGCCAATCCCAGCTCCAAGACGCACCAAAATTTAAATGAGGATCCCTGGCCGAGGAAACCGAGATGCAAATCCGGAATGCATCCTAAACCGCACCTGCTTCGTAACACCCAGAAAAGAAAAAAAACCCAACAAAGAAAAGAAAAAGAGGAGTAAAAAATAGTCTGAACTAAAAATTGGGGAAGAAATCATGGGCCGGCAGCTGCTACGCCGGCGTTTGCCACTCCCGACCTACCATGGTGCGAGCGAACGGAGGAAGAGCAGAGAGAACAAGGGTGGCTGCACCTGCGCCGGGGCTGTGACCGCAGGGGTGCCTCTGCTACTACTGCTGCTGCTGCTGCTGCTGCTAAGGCGCTGTGAGCGCTGAGCGCTATGCCACCGCCACCGCCGCCACCGCCGCCGCCGCCGCCCAACTGCGAGTAACGGCTCCGCGTCCGCGAGACTCCCAGCACCACTGTCGAAGTGCGAGCCTGCGCTCCGCAATATATATACGGCGCTCGGTATCCCTCCGCCTCAGCCGCGGCCGCCTCGTTCTGAGCTGCGCTGCGAGGGCCGGGCCTTGGCCACTCGGCCCCGCCCCCAGGCGCGCCCGGCCTCCCGCCGGCCCCTGCGCGCAAGCCGCGGCGGGCCGGGGCTGGAGACCCATACGCGAAGGGTGAGGGGAGAGGCGCAGGGTTGCGGGACAGGTGCGGCGAAGAGTCCCCGGAGATGCTCACGGGGGCCGGGGCGAGGACGGAACGTCAGCATAGCCCCGACTTGGGGCGGCCCTGGGCTTCAGAAGCCCAAGGCCCCTCACCCCAGCCCCACCCCCACCTGTGGGCCCCCCTCCTACCCCCACCTCACATCTCCTACCGCTCCGCTGGGGCACCCGGGTGCCCCTGGCCCCTGGCCTCGTCGTCCCCAGCTGGCCGCCTCCGTTGGGGAGCTGCGGGCGGTCCTAGGGTAGGGGGCGGCCGCGGGGAGCTGGGGACAGGAATTGACCGCTCTCCTTCTGCTGCCGGGGAGAGGGGTCTGGAAGGGGAAGGGCAGTGTGCCTCGTGCAAGAAATTGGTCAGACGTTTGCTTTTGAAAATTTGAAGTAATATCAGAGACAAATTAATATATGCTCAGTTGCTAAATCTGTGTCGTGTTTATATGCTTAGCCAGTCTTATTTTAATGTTTTTACGTTTCCACTGAATTTTTTTTTTTTTTAATGCCTGAATAATCTCCCTCTCCTACTGTTTGGTTCTCTTTTTCCTGTGGAAAATACTATTCATCCTGACCCCAGTCTTACTGAAATTAATGTATCTGTGCATCTTCTATAGACTTTAAAACACATGCTTTAATTTTTTTGTTTGTTTGGTTTTGGGTTTTTGTTAATTACCTGGTCCTGAGAGAGATCAGATCTTTACTCATACGCCCGTACAAACAAAGAAGGAGAAAAATAGATACATAGAATCCCCTAGATTAGAGCTAGAACACACAGCTGACTGACTCTACTATGGAGCTAGACCATTCTTTAATGTACAATCTTAATTATATGCTTTTTCAAGTAGTATTTTAATCTTTAAATTTACTAATGTTTTCAATTTTCTGTATACTAGAGAAACGACAGTACCAGTTGTAAATTTGAAGCCCAGAACTTTGTAAAAATCTTGACAAAATGCTGCAGTTTCTTTTTTGGCCAAGGCAGAGCACAGAATTTGATCTTTTGTTTACAGGGCCTGAGCAACAGTTGCAAGTTATCATTTGCTTACTGTTTCAGAGAATGTGGCAAAGTGTGCGATTGACAAGCTCTGCTTGAAAGGGCTTTGCTTGGTTGTGTTTGTTTCTGGCTTTGACAAAGTCTGCAGAAAGATGTAAAACAATGGAAAATGTTCAGGCACATTGTAGATGCCCCAGGACTTCTGTGATAACCTCAGACAAGCATCTGTGGAACTGTTCTTACTGATATTCCTTCTGGAATGCTGCAGAAAGGGTGAACCTGCTGTACGATTTAAAGAGAAGCTGTAGCAGCAAGCCAGGGAATGGTACTGCCTTCCCTCTGCAGATGAGAAAGACATCATCCAGTTAACACATCTACCAATCACTGTCATTGTCATCGCCATCGTCATCATCATCATCTTGTGCTCACAGGGGTAACCTGAGTGGAAATAAAATATATGTATATATATTTTTTAAATGTATATATTAATAGGAGAGTTGGAAATAGGGGGAAGGGACTAATATAAAGTCAGTTAAAAGAATATTCAGTAATACAGTGAGTTACAGTCTAAATGGCTAAACACACTAAGGGAATTTGTATTCTTTTGCCAGGTTTTCATACAGTAGTTAGTTAAATACATTTTAAAACTTGGCATACGTTGTGTAGGTAGGGGGAAATAGTGGCCTAGAAATAAAATGTGTTTGTTAAGGGTTTATTACCTTCTAATAGTCTTCCACGCCTTATAATTAAGTTGCTACAATCTATGGTTTTGAAAACCAGGCATTTTCTAAAATAATATTTCTTCCTCTATCATTTAACCTATTTCACCCAAATAAAACACTGTGAACCTTTTTCATGATTTTACTTGCTAAAAACTGTATTTCAGAATCATTTTACTTATTATAGTAAAATTCATTATTGTGATTCTTCATATTTTACCAGCTAGAGTTCCCTTTTGGTAATTCTTTAATGTATCAAATCACATCTTAGCTTTCAAGTCTAATTGGATTTATAATGAGGTCATGCTTTACTCAGTTTTACGGCCAGTTTGACACATTGAAATATAAGAAGGTCAAGTGACTTGCCCAAGATCTTGCTCAGGGGCTCTAATATTAGATTATATATTAGTGAAATTAATACCTGAAATTTTTAAAGGTACCGTGTGAAGATTTACGTGTTTCCTGAAGCAGGTTCTTCCGACCACCTAGATGATCACTGGGTGTTCATTAAAGATTTCTTTAAGTGAATAAACTTCCTAATTTATGAAAAGATCAAGAATCCGGAAAATAAGTCACATTATTATGAACTCATAATTTACTGAGAACCAAAAAACTATGGAATATTTCATAATATTGATAGAAAATGGTTATTATTATTTATATAAAGTAATATTAAATTGAAGAAAAATAGAAAGAATGCAACCCCAAGTCAGGAATCTCAAGTTCGAATATCATTTCTGTCACTAACCTGATTACTCTACCTATCTGAGTCTAACAGAAAGAATAAAAATGTAAAAAAAAAAAAAAAAAAAAAAAAAAAAAAAAAAAAAAAAAAAAAAA